GAATCGAGATCCATCAACTACAAAGCTGAAGATACCAATGGAGATGTGGACTGGTAAACCAGCTGATTATTCAAACCTCTATGTATTTGGAAGTGTTGTGTACGTGATGTATAACTCCCAAGAAATTTTAAAGTTGGATACAAAATCCAGGAAATGCAATTTCTTGGGGTATGCTGATGGTGTAAAGGGGTATCGCTTATGGGATCCCACTACCCACAAAGTGATCATTAGCAGAGATGTTATCTTTGTAGAAGATAAGCTACAAAGAAAAGAAGACGATTGTAGCACTGAAAAGTCAGAGACTACACAGATACATGTGGAAAACGAGTTTGAACAAGGAGATTCTTCTGAAGCAGAACTAGCACATGATGAACAAAAACCAGAGAGTTCTGAAGCTCCAACAACTCGTCAATCAGATCGTGTGAGAAGACGTCACAATTGGTACTCAGATTATGTTATAGAAGGTAATATTGCATACTACCTTTTAACAGAGGACGGTGAGCCATCAACATACCATGAGGCAATAAACAACTCAGATGCTTCACTGTGGATGATGGTGATGCAAGAAGAAATTGAAACCCTTCATAAAAATAATACATGGGACCTTGTGCCACTACCACAAAGAAAGAAGCCAATTGGTACCCATTCAATGAGAATCGATACCCATTCAATGGGAATCGATACCCCCTCAACCGAACCAGAAATTCCAGAATGTCATAGGGGAACCGATTCCCCCACAGTAGGGAACCGATTTCCCCTCTAAAGGAAAGTTGTGAATATTGGTTTAATAGGTTCGATTAAGTTGCTAATATCCAATTACAAGGTTTAGGTATCTAATAATTGCCTTAAAATGTACATTTATGTAGATTCTAAGCGTAAAGCAATTTCGAAATATTTGGCAAGTAAGATCGATCAAGGAAAAGATAAGAGATCGGTATTGACTAGTGAGGCCAGATGAGTGCGTATTATTATAATATACGTATTGTATATGGAAATTGGACTTGCGACAAGTCTGTTTCCAATATGATTGTAGGAGTAGAAGTATGATTATGTTTGATATTGTGTGAATATGTTTTGTTCGTATTATATGTTATGTGGTATGAATTTATATGATATGTGTTATATGACAATGATTTATGTATTATAGGAAAATTGTTATATGAGCTATATGAACATGGGATATAAGTTATAGGATCACAAATTATGTAAAGTAACCATGACTTATGTGTTAACAAGAGAAAGTGACATAAAATATGGAACAAGATATAAATTACCTGATTTAGATATAAGGGAATTGGTGGAATCAACTTAAGGGATTAAATAAAATGTGAGATAAGTTAAATAACATTGACCTATAGAACAATATGAGATTAATAGATATATATATATTAGGAGATATTGATAGAACTGATTATAGGGATATGTAAGATCAATTATATGGAAAAGATCTATGAAGCTATAGGAAGATGTTATAGGAGCTTTTGATGATAATTTATTAGAAGACTTGCATATGTGATAAGTATGTGAAACTGAATTAGGTAAATATGTGTAAAGGTTATATAAATAATAGAAACATAAATGAGACAAGTAAGTAGTGATATGATCAATTATGGGAAATTGTGCATTAGAGTTATAAGATTTATGGAGAATGGAGGAAAACTAGATAAAACTGAACTATAAAAGGAACTGAGAATAATATATCACTTAGGAGATTTGAATATAAAATGATGATATGCATATAGAATATAAAATACATGTTTATAAATATGACATAGGTTATGTGTTATATGATTAATATAAAGACATGAGAATAAGAGATAAAATAAGTGACTTTGTGATGGAAGATATATGACCATGAATGATGTGAATAGGAATAATTTAAATACTATATAACTATGAGTATTTGAGTATATATCTAGGTGATGTGATGTATGAGGTAGTATATAATATTATAAGACTATGCGATTATATGAGAAACAAAATAGGTACAGGTGAATTATATGGAAATGAACTACGTGAATGGGTGTGATCTTATGAAAATTTATGATGAGCCATGTGAAAGTGAACTATGTGTTATGTGAAATGATAAGTATAAAAGAAGATACCCATGTTATTTGTCTTGAGAGCTAGGAGTATAGTTGGCATTCCAAGAGTCGAGGGTCTACGTGGCCCTTAGGGACATATATGTATTCCTTGGAACATGTGTGAAGTCTTGTGAGACACATACTTGATCCCTAGTATATGTATATGATTCTTAATGAATGATATGTGGTCCTTATGGAAATTATTATATGGCACTACGGTGTAATTCTACGTGGCACTACGGTGCAATTCTACGTGGCACTTCGGTACAATTTATATAAGCTGTGGTGACAACATTAGTGCACAACCTCTATAGACTCACATATCTATGGTTCTCACATGTGTACATGGGCTAATAAAGGAAATAATATAAAAGAACCTTGCATGATAGTATATTGATTTGTAATCTTTATGGTCTGAAGTGATATATGTGATATGATGATGTGTATATAGCTTGGTTAAGAGGAATAGATGCAAGAACATATGACAAAAAGATAAAGAACGAAAATAAGATTAATAAAGAGATAATAATAAATACCTTACATATGATTTACATGTTTTGTGCTATGAAACCTGTTATAAGAATTATATGATGTGATGTGTCCTTCCTTGAGAAATTATATGCGTGTTATATGACAAAACTAATATAATAGGTACTAGATCAATTGTTAATTTGGATTACTTATAATGATATATTATAAGAATATGTGAAGGGTGTGTGTGTACAAGTGGATAGTGGTGGCATGACAGAATGTATGATTGTGTATGATATAATAAGTACAGATTATGAATGCATTAGTAGGAATTATATGTTTTTTATGCCTCACTAAGTCATCGGCTTAGCGTGTGAGTATTTCACACGTAGGTTCCGGAAAGCTAGAAGAAAAGTGAGAAGGAGCAAGACAGGTCAGTTACTTCTTATTGAAGATCAGATCAGAAAATATGTCTTGAATTAGATGGATTCTGTATATTGAATATAGTTGGCATGTACTAATTGATTGAGTTAAATAAACCACTGTGACTTTAATGAAAGTTTTAAATTTTTCTCGAGCTCTTGTCATGAGTCAAAGTTTGAAAAGTCAATGTGACACCTCGGACTCGTATCCGGGTCGGGTACGGGATGGGGGTGTTACATTTAATGGTATCAGAGCTAAGGTTTAGCCGATTCTCGGCGTAAACCGAAGTCCAAAGTGTCATAAAATGTGTACATGCCAACACAGAGTGAAAAATTTTCTGATCTGACATTGTAAGGAGTATGTTGTCTTGCTAATAGAATAAGATTAGTTTAATATAGTAGAAATCTAATTAGGAGAATTTCAAAGATATTGAGGGGTAAACCTGATGGTAGTAGCAATTCACCTGCTCTGGCCAGGCACGAGGAAGAGCGGACACCTCAGGAAGTGCCTCATAAGATCAAAGACTGATTTCAGAAAGTTGAAATCATATTAGAATAATGATAGATAGTTTTCACATGTTCGAATCGGAAAAGTGATATGAAGTATTCTTATTATTTCATGGATACGATAGAATATGGTGAACAAGTGTCATCATAAGAAAGTTAAAAGATCAAATGATGTGGTGAGTATTTGCAGAAGAGCTCAAGAATAAGTGCATCAGTAACAAGTGTATAAAATATATAGAGATAGAGGTTATGAATTTGAAACAAAGGGAATTGCAACGTGTATGGATAAGAGTGCAGTTTGATAAACTGAAGGAATTACTATTAGGCTAAAGTAAAGGAAATGAGATATGCAAGTGGTTGTGAATGGATTGTGCTCTGATGGAAGGAGTGTTATAGTGTTAAAGTTCTAAGGAGAGAGTTCAGAAGGATTAAAAGAACTGGTAGTTTGGGTTTCAAATACAACCTTGGTTGGAATTAGTTGTATTCCATATCAAATGATCAAAGCTGAGGAAAGTCAGATACGTTTGAATAGTAGAGTTTGGTACTGGAAGATTAAATAAGGAGTTAAGAATGAATATGAAATTAAGTTTAGAAAGGAAAGGGTAATTTCTGAGTTTGAACCCAGGAAAAATTGTGTTGTGAACGAGTAAGAATGTGAGTTGAATAAGTTAAACAAATAAATACTGAGTTAGTTTCGACCGGAAAGAGTGCATATGATTGGAAGAACTGTTACTGACAAAGTTAAGTGATGAAGAATGTAGTTAAAAGATTAAAGATGATAGGATAAGCTAACAGAGTATGGCGTAATTTTGTAAATGGTTATGGATTTGATTATGTAAGGGTGATGTGGTGAAAGAGTAAAAGCTTATTATGTTTGAAGGAAGTCAAGGATATGTGTATTGTGATTTGAATAAGGACTTTACGAAGAATAAGATCTGTGCAAGGAATATTGATTATCAAAGTTATGAAGAGATGATAAAGATCAGTAATCTGAGATGAGCATAAGTGAGAGGAAAAGAGTATGTGAGCATGAAAGAAAATATATGATTTGTATAAGAAGATTTTGATTGTTATTGAATAAAGGAATAATGGAATAAGGAAATGAAAGGATAAAGTTTAAAGAAGCAGATGTGATAAAGGTTATGGTTATTGGTCAAGCAGATTTAATCAGAGGAATAAAGAATGATTTATATGTATTAAGGAAATTTAAGAAGTAGTTAAGTGATGTTGGAATAAAAGTTGGTTATTATTGCAAGGCAATTAAAGATTGCTCAAGAATTTGATTGAGTTATGAATTTTGAGCGATAAAAATTGATGCTACTGGTTATATGATAAGCGATAGTAAATGAATGAATATAGGAAAAGTTAGTTGAAGAACCAAATGAATGATAGAGTAAGTAGATGAGATAACATAAGAACATTAGGAGAAATGTTCTTATCAATAAGTGTACAATGAAAATTCGGGGACGAATTTTCTTAAAAGAAGGGGAGATTTGTAACATCCTCAAACCGGGTTAGTGATTAAATGGTAAAATTTCAGAATTTGGGGATAAAAGTAGGATAGTTGAAAGTTCAATGATTTAGATATGAATAATTCCTTATTGGATTAGATGAATGGTATAATAGTAATTTCACAAGAAAGATTTTTTTCTTCCTCCTTTATATAGGATATAACACGTGGAAATGAATGGAGCAAGGTTCCAGTTTCCAGAGTTCACTTCTTCTCATTTCTTCTTCACGTGTGGAAGCCAAGAGCAAATGTGACATTTCTTATTTGTTGGTTTTAGTTGAAATTAAGCTTGGCTTTTAATTATAAGATGATACTTAAGCTTAAGGAAAGCTTAAGTTATCTTAAAACTATAAGATGAAAAAAGATAATATGGATCAAAGATTGGAGTTTTTAAGTGAAATTTTGAATAAGAATGTTTAAATGAATTTAGAGGATGAATTTGACTTGTCATCTATGAGAATAAGAAGCTAGAAGTGTTAGAATTAAGTTTGAGTAACATGGAAAATTTGGTGTGATTATTGATTTCTATATGGAGAATAGAATTTTTGAGGTTTAAGATGAAATAAATGGGTATAAATTAGTTTAAGCATGTATATATGAGTTAAGAATATTAAAGGAAGTGAAATAGTAAGTGTGGAGCTGAAAATGAAGTGATTTTCGAGCTCAAAACATGATTTCTGGGCTAGGGGAATCGGTACCCATTCAATGGGAATCGGTACCCATTCAATGGGAATCGATACCCCCTCAACCGAACCAGAAATTCCAGAATGTCATAGGGGAACCGATTCCCCCACAGTAGGGAACCGATTCCCCCACAGTAGGGAACCGATTCCCCCTCTAAAGGAAAGTTGTGAATATTGGTTTAATAGGTTCGTTTAAGTTGCTAATATCCAATTACAAGGTGTATGTATCTAATAATTGCCTTAAAATGTACATTTATGTAGATTCTAAGCATAAAGCAATTTCGGAATATTTGGCAAGTAAGATCGATCAAGGAAAAGATAAGAGATCGATATTGACTAGTGAGGCCAGGTGAGTGTGTATTATTATAGTATACGTATTGTATATGTAAATTGGACTTGCGACAAGTCTGTTTCCAATATGATTGTAGGAGTAGAAGTATGATTATGTTTGATATTGTGTGAATATGTTTTGTTCGTATTATATGTTATGTGGTATGAATTTATATGATATATTTTATATGACAATGATTTATGTATTATAGGAAAATTGTTATATGAGCTATGTGAACATGGGATATAAGTTATAGGATCACAAATTATGTAACCATGACTTATGTGTTAACAAGAGAAAGTGACATAAAATATGGAACAAGATATAAATTACCTTATTTAGATATAAGGGAATTGGTGGAATCAACTTAAGGGATTAAATAAAATGTGAGATAAGTTAAATAACATTGACCTATAGAACAATATGAGATTAATAGATATATATATATATTAGGAGATATTGATAGAACTGATTATAGGGATATGTAAGATCAATTATATGGTAAAGATCTATGAAGCTATAGGAAGATGTTATAGGAGCTTTTGATGATAATTTATTAGAAGACTTGCATATGTGATAAGTATGTGAAACTGAATTAGGTAAATATGTGTAAAGGTTATATAAATAATAGAAACATAAATGAGACAAGTAAGTAGTGATATGATCAATTATGGGAAATTGTGCATTAGAGTTATAAGATTTATGGAGAATGGAGGAAAACTAGATAAGACTGAACTATAAAAGGAACTAAGAATAATATATCACTTAGGAGATTTGGATATAAAGTGATGATATGCACATATAATATAAAATACATGTTTATAAATATGACATAGGTTATGTGTTATATGATTAATATAAAGACATGAGAATAAGAGATAAAATAAGTGACTTTGTGATGGAAGCTATATGACCATGAATGATGTGAATAGGAATAATTTAAATACTATATAACTATGAGTATTTGAGTATGTATCTAGGTTATGTGATGTATGAGGTAGTATATAATATTATAAGACTATGCGATTATATGAGAAACAAAATAGGTACAGGTGAATTATATGGAAATGAACTACGTGAATGGGTGTGATCTTATGAAAATTTATGATGAGCTATGTGAAAGTGAACTATGTGTTATGTTAAATGATAAGTATAAAAGAAGATGCTCATGTTATGTGTCTTGAGAGCTAGGGGTATAGTTGACATGCCAAGAGTCGAGGGTCTAAGCGGTCCTTAGGGACATATATATATATTCCTTGGAACATGTGTGAAGTCTTGTGAGACACATACTTGATCTCTAGTATATGTATATGATTCTTAAGGAATGATATGTGGTCCTTATGGACATTATTATATGGCACTACTGTGCAATTCTACGTGGCACTACGGTGTAATTCTACGTGGCACTTCGGTGCAATTTATATGAGTTGTGGTGACAGCATTAGTGCACAACCTCTATAGACTCACATATTTATGGTTCCCACATGTGTACATGGGCTAATAAAGGAAATAATATAAAAGAACCTTGCATGATAGTATGTGATTGATTTGTAATCTTTATGGTATGAAGTGATATATGTGATATGATGATGTGTATATAGCTTGGTTAAGAGGAATAGATGCAAGAACATATGACAAAAAGATAAAGAACGAAAATAAGACTAATAAAGAGATAATAATAAATACCTTATATATGATTTACATGTTTTGTGCTATGAAACCTGTTATAAGAAATATATGATGATGTGATGTGTCATTCCTTGAGAAATGATATGTGTGTTATATGACAAAACTAATATAATAGGTACCAGATCAATTGTTAATTTGGATTACTTATAATGATATATTATAAGAATATGTGAAGGGTGTGTGTGTGCAAGTGGATAGTGGTTGCATGATAGAATGTATGATTGTGTATGATATAATAAGTACAGATTATGAATGCATTATTAGGAATTATATGTTTTTATGCCTCACTCAGTCATCGACTTAGCGTGTGAGTATTTCACACGTAGGTTCCGAAAAGCTAGAAGAAAAGTGAAGAGGAGCAAGACAGGTCAGTTACTTCTTATCGAAGATCAGATCAGAAAAGATGTCTTGAATTAGATGGATTCTGTATATTGAAAATAGTTGGCATGTACTAATTGATTAAGTTAAATAAACTGCTGTGACTTTAATGAAAGTTTTAAATTTTCTCGAGTTCTTGTCATGAGTCAAAGTTTGAAAAGTCAATGTGACACCTCGGACTTGTATCTGGGTCGGGTACGGGTTGGGGGTGTTACACCTGTGGTTCGACTAACAACAGTTCGAGTAATTTTGGCAATGTGTGCTACATTGAACTTACATTTAGAGCAGATAGACGTTAAAACAGCTTTTCTCCATAGAAATCTTGAAGAAGAGATTTGAATGCTTCAGTCTGAAGGTTTTGAAGAAAAAGAAAAGAAGAACTTGGTTTGCAGGTTGAACAAGTCTATGTACGGTCTAAAACAGGCGTCGAGGTGTTGGTATAAAAGATTTGACTCCTTCATTATATGCCTTGGATACAACAGACTTAATGCATACCCTTGTGTTTATTTCAAGAGGTCTGGTGATAACAATTTTGTTATATTGCCGTTGTATGTGGATGACATGTTGGTTGCAGAACCCAACAAAGTTCATATTGAAGAATTGAAGGCAAAACTGGCTAGGGAATTTGAAATGAAGGACTTGGGATCAACAAACAATATTCTAGGGATGCAAATTCACCGAGACAGAAGTAATAGAAAGATTTGGCTTTCGCAAAAGAATTACTTGAAGAAGATCTTGTCACGATTCAACATGCAAGATTGTAAGCCAATTTATACCCCTCTTTCTATTAACTTCAAATTATCCTCCAGTATGAGTCCTAACAGTAAAGAAGAGAGGATGGAGATGTCTCAAGTGTCATATGCATCGGTAGTGGGAAGTTTAATGTTCGCTATGATATGCACAAGACCAGACATTGCACAAGCAGTGGGAGTGGTTAGTCGGTACATGGCGAATCCAGGCAAAGAGCATTGGAATACAGTAAAGAGGATCCTGAGATACATCAAAGGGACCTTAAATAATTTATTATGTTACGGAAGATCAAACTTACTAATCAATGGGTATGTAGATTCTGACTATGCAGGGGATTTGGATAAAAGCAAATCTACTACAGGATATGTGTTCAAAGTTACTGGTGGAGTTGTAAGCTAGGTTTCAAAATTGCAGTCAGTTGTGGCTACATCCACAACAGAGGCAGAATATGTAGCAGCTACACAAGCCAGTAAATAAGCAATTTGGTTGAAGATGCTATTGGAGGAGCTTGGGCACAATCAAGAGCATGTCTCTTTGTTTTGTAATAGTCAAAGCGTCTTGCATCTAGCAAGGAATCCAACATTTCATTCAAGGACAAAGCACATACGAGTTCAGTACCACTTCATTCGTGAAAAGGTGAAAGAATGGACGATAGATATGCAGAAGATCCATACCAAAGACAACATAGCAGATTTCATGACGAAGGCGATCAATGTTGATAAATTTACTTGGTGTCGATCCTCTTATGGCTTGTCAGAGAAGTAAGCAACATGAAGATACGAGGTAGAAAGAGTAGTGTGAAGATATGATTATTCCAATCAAATCTTCAAGTGGGAGATTGTTGAAAGTCATAGCAGTCTTCAAGTGGGGCGGCTAAATGGTCAAATTTAGGCAACCAAATTGTTGAAATAATTAAGGGATAACTATCAAATTGAGTCCCTAAACTTTAGGGTATTTACAAGATTAGTCCTCAAGCTTCAACTATAAATACCATATCCTATTTAGCTTCAAAACCATCCCAAATCATTCTAGCTTTCTCCTAATACTAGAGAATTTAGAGAGTTTCTTGAGAGTTGTTTTCTCCTTTTTATCAAGAGAGAATTATCATTGTTTTCTCCTTAGTAGATCGAGAGAGGTTGTAATTCCTATTTTCTCATAGTAAAATTCTTCTACCGTTGCCTGTGGTTTTTACCCTATATTATTTAGGGGTTTTCCACGTAAATTTTGTGTCTTATTTATCTTTATTTTTATTTTCTCAAATTATCAGTTGCGATTTTGCTCTATTCGATAGTCGTCTTCCGCAACAGTTTAAGGTCCGAATTCCTATTCGTTTAGAGCACATACCTATTATGTCATAAATTTCAGCATTGAGATCCTAGTTGTGAACTTGTGATGCTTAACTTCATTTATCTTGTTGGGCATAAAGGCATTCTCAGCAGCATGGAAGGCAGCCTGTGATCATCCAGGGAACTCTACATTCTACATACCTGAAGGAATATTCATGGTTGGTCCGTTCACATTTCACGGCCCTTGCTATAACGACCTATCGCCTAACGTTGAGATCAAGGGAACATTATTGGCTCCAATTCGCATTACTGCATTCAAGTCACTTCACTGGATCGCATTCAAAAACCAGAAAGGATTAACTGTCACCGGGGGAACTGAAACGGGAAAAGTCAACGGACAAGGAGAAGCAGAAGCCTGGCAACAGTATAGTTGCCTGAAAGCAGCAAGATGTAAGAAATTAATCACAGTAAGTTCCATTACAAGTTTATTGAAATTAAAAACATTGTTAAATGCAGTAAGGCAATTTCAAAAACATTTCTCAATACATTTTGTTTTGCAGTCGATGTTTTTCATAATTGTTTCATATGCATCAATCAGCAATATCACGTTGTTAAACAGCAATGGCTTCCATTTAGGTCTCCATGAAAGCACTGACATCAATATCTACAATGTCAACATTATTGCTCCTGAAGATAGCCCAAATACCGATGGCATTCATGTCAGTCACTCCTCTAACATAAGCATTTTCTCTTCGATAATCGGAGTTGGTGATGATTGCGTCTCCGTGGGAGCTGGTAGAAACAACATCTCCATTTATGATGTCCGATGTGGTCCGGGCAACGGAATAAGGTATGCTCTAACAAGTTTGGTTCAGAAGCAAACTTCCATTTCAAGTTAACTTATGCAAAAATGGCACGGTGTGGGCAGCCTTGGCAAGTACAAAACCGAGACCGATGTGGTCGGTATCAGCGTCCGGAATTGCACAATAAATGGCACGGAAAACGGTATTCGGATGAAGTCATGGTCCGGAGGCCGAGCAATCAATGCTTACAATATGACATTTGAAGATATTCTTATGATCAATGTCTCCAACCCATAGTCATAGATCAAGAATACTGTCCTTCGCATAAGTGCAAGACTACAGAAGTAAATATCTATGTTATTTTCCGTAAACTAAAAACAAATTTTGTTGACAAATTTTTTTGTTGACGGATCTTTCGACTCCCTTGAAAGAAGTTTGTGAGCATTGTCGTCCGCTAGACATCCCGAAGAACGCTCAACAAATAACATCGATTGTTGAAAGTTCGATCAACTGTCTGACAAACAACACTTCACAGACTTCTTTCGAGAGTCGGAAATTCGAGAGGGAAAAAAAACAATTAATGGATGGATTGGTGGTTTTGGTTTGTGCCATTGCAGTCCTCACTTGTGAAGCTCAAAGACATTGATTAGGAACATCAGTGGCACCTACAACACCAAATCTGCCGTAACATTGCTGTGTAGCTCGGATGCACCTTGCGAAGACATTCGGCTTGTTAACAAAAGTCTCAACTATTTAGAGCCCCACACCCCTCGCCAAGGTCGCTTCAATATTAAGGGTTTTCTAAATGGCTTACAAGTTATTAATTATAGGTTTTAGGTGTCACAAGGATTGTTTTAATCATATTAATAGGTTGTCGGTTACTTCGGATCAATTAAATGAAATTAATTAATTTATCGTATTAATTTTGATATTTAATTTTTTTGTTATCTATTAAAAAATTTAATGTTTATTTAATTAAATCAAAACTGATTAACTTTATCAAAATTAAGTCAATTCGTTATCAATATATTTTATTATAGGAATTTCTTTTTTAATATATTTTTCGTATATAAATTTATAAATTAAAGAAACATTTAATTATCAACAATTAGTTGGTCTAGTGAGATGAGACAGCAGATAATTTAATCAATGTCATCGGTTCAAATTTTTGCATATACGACTTAAGTAAATTGGATTGAGATGATTACCCTCGCATTTTCAATATCAATTTAGATTAGTCGATCGAATTGAATATACTAAAAAGAAACATCTCATTTATAGATTTTTTAAAGAAACCGTTAATTTTATTCAAAATATGAAATATCTTAAATTACAATAAAAATTTACTATTATAATAGTAAATTAAGTAAATAATTAGTATAATTTCCTATAATCATTAATATAAAACTAGTAACTTAAGATCACATAAGAAAAAAGATTAAAATCTAACTAAGAAACTAGAACAAAGATATATATAAATAGATCTAATCGCATCGGTAAATGAACACCAAAGGAGATTAAGCTACTAAAAGACCACCGACAATCCGCAAGTCATACTTGGGCGATGTGAAAAGCTATCAATGAACGCATAACGGGTGTTCAAATCAAATATGATGGTCTAAAGTAGAGAATATCAACAATATAATAGACAAACGCCATCTTGATCAGTCGTGACGATGTCTAATCAACCCTTAGAAAAAGATAAAATAAAACAACGACCAAACGACTGAAAAACGTGCCAAAAAGCAAAATAAAACGTACTATAAAGTTGGAGAAAAACAAGTATATTTATTGAAAATAAAAAATAAGAGAAAATAAAATGACAATAAAAAAATACTGACAGTCAACAACCAATATTAAAGTTGATTTCGTCATCGATCAACAATGATAAAAAAAAGATACGAACAACTTATCAACGAGAAAAATACTAGAAGAGGAAACTTTCATTTCATACATAATTGATCCTTTTTTTTTTCTTTTTCTATCAAAATTCTTCTCTTAAAATGTATTGGAATAATTTTATCTTATTAATCATTTTAAAATTGAAATCCACATAATAATGAATGAAATGTTTTAAAAACTAAAAATTAAAAAAAAATCACTTAGAGAAAACAGAAAACATTATTTATTGATTGTCAGTTATCAAATTTTTTAAAATTTGAATTTTTGTAATTTTTAAAAAAATAGTTTTAAAATATTTAAAATAAAATTTAATGGCAAAGTGGGGTCTTTTTATTATTATTATTGAGTAAACTATTTATTTGATCATTCACCTATTATTTAATTTTTGTTTTAGTTACTTGGCTATTAACTTTTTTAAAATTATACCTACTATTATATTTTGATTCTATTTTAGTTATCCATCTTTAAAAAATAATGGTGATACTAAAGTGACATTATCTTATGTTTATACATGAGTATCACCATTATTGGTGGATGATCAAAATGCAACATTAGATATGATTATAAAATAAATAATAATTATGTGATTAAAGAAGAATATAAGAAATAGTTGGATGACTGAATAGAAAGTTTACCCTTAAATATTTCTCTGTTTGGTGCTAAAATAAATTTCAGATCCGAAGCCTTTTCTCCTCTGCTCTCCTGTTCAAAAATCAAAATCAACACTTCCAATTCACCGGAACTCAAATCTCTCCCTCTCCGATCACCACTCTTCGCCACGGAAGCCTCCACCGTAGCGCGCCTAGACACTAGATCTCATCTTTTAAAAGGTACGTTCTTTGATCGAATCCGATCCAATCAATTAATCTCTGCTTAGATTTTCACATTTTGCAAACAAAAAAAACATGAACTCCAATTACGGGAAAGGTTCATCTGGTTCTCTAAAAAGCTTCGATTTCGATCTCGGCCTCGGATCTGGCCGACCCAAATCCCTCAATGACCAAAAGAATAAAACCACTTCGTCATATTCATCTTATTCATCAACAACATCTGCACAATCGAAGTCTGGGTGGCAACCAAACAAGCCGTCGTGGACTCACCATCCCGCCCCGAATCAGGCCACCCTACCTGGCTTATCGGGTTCCTCTTCCATGGTGGGAGACATTTTTGGGAAGAACTGGGGTTCTTCGGGAAGTAAAAGCTCTGGGGTTGGAATCGTTAATAAGAACCCTAATTTGTTTGGTGATTTGGTTAGCTCTGCTTTGGGACAGGGGAAGAGTAATAGTAATTCTAATGTTCCTTTGAAGAATTCTAATCCGACTTCAAATTCTTCGAGTAAAAGCACATATTCAATGGGGAATTTGACTGATTCGTTGCCCAAAAGTACTGGGAATTGGGGAACTTCCAGTGGATATAATAATAACAGTGGTGTTGGAAGTAGTAATGTTAATGTCAATACTAATAATAGTAAGAGTCAGAATCTTGGTGTGGCTCCTATGAAAAGTATGGCCGGAGGAGCAGGTGGAATCGGAGTTAAAAGTGGGATTGGTTCAAAGGACCCTTTTGGTTTTTTGGTTGATTTTTCAACAAAACCATCGTGTAGCCTTAATTCGGGAAGTAATAAAGGAAATAAGACAAAGGTTGCAGATGATGCATTTGGGGATTTTCAGAATGATTCAAAACCGAGCACAACTGCATTTCCATCTAGTGGTTTCAGTTCGAGTAATAATGATTTTATGGGGTCAAATGTGGCTTCTGGTTTGAATATGGATGATTTTGGGATGCCTGCAAAGAATGTTGGATCTCAAAATCAACCATCCATTCAAAGCTCGGGCAGTGATCCTCTCGACATGTTCTTTTCATCTTCATCAGCTTCGACTGGAGGTTCTGCCCGAGCATCTGGTGGAGGTGGAGAGCAGCAATTTTCAGGAGTTGGTGATTGGGGGTTGGACTCTGAGTTTGGAGGAGTGGGAGGAGGAAACGATGGCAGCTCAACAACGGAGCTTGAAGGGCTTCCTCCTCCCCCGGCCGGTGTCAGTGCATCTTCTGCAAAGAGCAACGGTATCAACAACCAGAAGCAAGGCCAGTATGCTGATGCCATTAAGTGGCTATCGTGGGCAGTGATTCTGCTTGAGAAGACTAACGATAAGGCTGCCACCATGGAGGTTTTATCATGTAGGGCTTCATGCTATAAAGAGGTTGGTGATTATAAGAAGGCTGTAGCCGATTGTTCAAAGGTACAAAGACTCTTCAAACTGCTAGATATTATAGTTCCTTATTAATGTGAAAGTTTATATTGGAATTTTATTGCATGCACATAGTTTGCAAATGAATTTGTGAATTTACTTAATCCTTCCTAAGACAGGCGTTGAGGTTTGATAAGATGTTTGCTCCAGAGCAAGCATTTAAAAGTTCACAGGGTTAGGCCCCTTGTCATTGTTAATTATTGATCTCAAACAAATGTGAGAGAGAAAGAGGGAGTAATTAGCATGGTACTCTTGTACACTGCAAAGCTCTATAATTATTTATTCATCTAGATGTTGTTGCTTGCATTTGTATCGATCACATCAATTGAAATCAATATAGATTGATGATCCGCAAATTTTACAGATGAAATTATGTTGTCCATTTCTCTATCCAGGTGCTAGAGCATGATGAAACCAATGTGCATGTCCTTGTGCAACGTGCACTCTTGTACGAAAGCATGGAGAAATACAAACTTGGGGCTGAAGATCTGAGAACTGTTCTGAAGATTGATCCTGGCAATAGAATTGCAAGAAGTACCGTCCATCGCTTGGCTAAAATGGCGGACTAGAAGGTTTGATGATTCTTTTGTTTGTATTATCATTCTTCATTTAGGTTGATACCCTTTCCCCCTCATACTAATAACAGAATTAAGGGAAAGTAATAACTCTCTTATCCTAGATACGTGGTCTTTAAACATCTCATTGTGGAGGGTTTATGTGTATGGTGTGATTGGATATTATATCTTATTTTGTTCGAGGTTTGGAAACGGCCTGTCTTTGATATTCGTAAACTGCTTCGGTGTTGCATTCAGAACATTATATTTTGTCATTTTATACTTGTTTGCTATGGTATATGAACAGTTGTGATATTGTATGTGATGGTGTTCTGTTATGGTGTACCTATGTTTTTTTCTTGTGTGTTTTTTGGTTCTTTAATGGCCTGATGTTAGACAACATAGTGAAATTGAACCCGAGATCCGTTTGCTAAACAGATTTAGAGAATTTGACCTAATGGATGGTTATTTATCTTCTTAAAGCTTTCTTATATCTGAAGCTTTACTAGGGATGAATGAAGTTTAGAATCAGAGTGTTTTATATGATTTTGTATTCGATACATGTGTGTGTATATATATACATAAATTCAAAAGATGTAGTCTCACTGTGTAAAACTTTCTAGTCCTATATTGATTTAGGATCATTGGAAATCATTGTGACTAACAATAGAAAATGAAAGGATATTTATGGGTTGAAATAAAAGAGGTGGATGGTGTGAATGTACAAAGTTTTAATCGTAGTCATAAATTTAAATTTATTCCATGATTCTAAACCAGTAGAAACCTTAAACGAATCCAAAGAAATGAAGGCAGTTTGATCAAAGTGAAACACAAACGACAAGTTATTTCAATTTAATACTTGTTCAAGTAGTATAAATTTAGTGGTCATTACTATTTTAGAAAATTCATAATAATCATTAAATTTATTAAATTGGTATAAAATAATCGCTACACATTATAAAATAATAATAAATTTAAAAGTCAATTTATAGTAATTTGATGAATTTAATGATTATTTTATAATGATTTGATAAAATTTAATGACTGTTTTATAATTGTTTATAAATTTTGATGGTTATTTTACATTTTTAAAATTTTTAATAACTAAAGAGTTATATCAACATAATTTAATTATTATGTATATACTTTATTATTATTATTGTAAAGCCGAATTTGAGTCGTTGGCTTATTGTAGTAGAACGAATGAAACATCACAAATTGCAATTACTGTTGCAATACTATGAAACCCAAGGCTTGGCCTATAAGTCGAGGGTATTCATGTCTCAATCCATGTTCGAATCACAAAATTTATTTCTTTTAAAAATATAATAAAATATAATTTTAATCTAAAGTTAATTCAATATTATTTGTTTTAAAGAAAAAGTAAATTGCTTGAATTAATGAAGGATTGAAGTAAGGGTGTAAACGAGTCGAGTCAAGCTCGAGTATTGCTGAGCTCGACTCGAACTCGAAACCATTTATAGTAAGCTCGACTCGACTAGAAAACTCGCGAGCTAAAAATTATCAAGCTCGACTCGAACTCGAAATATAATATTAAAATTTGACTCGAACTTAAAAAGGCTCGAACTCAAAAAAAATTCAAGAGCTCAATTGAAGCTCGAGACTCGAACTCGATTCAAGCTCGATTTTAAGCTTGATTCAAGTTCGATTTTAAGCTCGATTCAAGCTCGAATCTTAGCCAAAAGGCCGATAAAAGTATGTTTTGAACTGCACAAGCTCGCTTGTTTTATATGTAGCTTATCCTGTCATCTTATAGTATCTCGACTATGTGGGATATGAAACACAAAAGGAAACACTTCCAAATTTCTGCAAAAACCCAAATCAGGCACAAGAACCCTCTCTTCTTTCTTCTTAGCCCTTACAAAATATGAAACACTTCCAAATTTCTGCAAAAAAGTACCCACATCAGATCATAAAAAACCCTCTTATTATCCACTCAAACTTAATCAAAAAAGCCCCTATATTATTATACAAGAATCGAAGGTGAAAACCTTCTTTGGCTTTTGGTTTTGTTCCACTTCAACTGTCTGCTGAAACATAACATGTTTTATCACTGTTGTTTTTCTTGGCATTGAAAGTAGGGAAGATAACCAGTGGATTAAAGATTTTTCACGGGGTAGTACTGGGATTGCATTTAGTTCGAGTGCAGCTGAACCTTGTTCAATTTCTAGGTGCAACAATGTCTGGTCTGAGGCAGCCTCTTCTGAATCTGTTGAAATGTTATTAAAATCTGTCAGACAGGACGAAAGTATTCTCAGTCAAACTATCAAGAAGGGAATTTCATAAATGTCAGTCAGTCTGGTCTTAACGACGAGCTTGTGGGGGGTAACAATACGAATCGATGAATAATGTCCTGGCTTACGCCCCATGGCTATTTATTCTTTCGACTCCATTGTTTTTCATATTAAACTCGATTTCCTCTGTGCAAGTAGTGTTTTTTTAGGGAGCCAAGATACCACACATTTGAAAAATGATACTGTTGATGAAAATGTTGACAGTTTAGCAGGGAAAATGTTGATTTGAGCCAAGTGTTACCTCAGATGTGCAGAAGCATTCAGTTTCAAACATGCAATCTAGGGAAGATGGACGTGTTACTGGAAATATTACACCTACTGTGGGGGAGCCTTCTAATAGGACATTGAAAGAGAATTCTGACCTCCAGACGGTGGAAGAGTGCAATGAGGGCTTGCCTGTAGAAAGTCCTCGGTCGACTAGGGGTAGCCCGTGTTTTAGAAATGGAGTATTAGCATTTTAGGACCTGTTATATTTGTAATTTTCTGATTTCGTCATTAATCAAGATTTACGTTTTTATGATTTGGGTTGTTAATTTATTTTTATTTTATGTTTTGATCACCGTTTGTTTTGATAATTGACCTTTTGATTGATTTGGCCAAGTGTGATTTATTAGTTTTTTACATAAACCTTGTTAATTTCATTAATTTCATTTTGCATAATTTGTATGTTACCTTCATGTGCATAACTTAACCCCTATCATATAATCGGATTAAGGGTTTAGGGTTTAGGGTTTATAGGTTAGGGTTTGGGATTTAAAGTTTATGGTTCATAGTTTAGGGTTTAGGATTTAGGGTGTAATCTAACATGTTCTTAATTAAATGAGCTGAAATTTTTCTTTTAGTACCCTATCATATAATTAGATTAAGGGTTTAGGGCTTAGGATTTATGGTTTAGGGTTTGGAATTAAGGTTTAGGGTTTAGGGTTTAATCTAACATGTGCTTAATTAAATATGCTTTTATTTTTCTTTCAGTAATATACAATGTAACAATTGGATTTGAGTTGCTTAATTAAAAAAAATTAAAAATTGAGGGTAGTTATATTATAGAATATTTTATATATTTTTGAAATTTTATAATTATCAATAATGTATTTTTAATAAATTTTTTATAATGTAATTTTAAAAAATCTAAAATTATAATATAACATCTTTTCGAGCTGCTCACGAGCTTTTCGAGTCGAATATCGAGTAGCTCGTTTCGGCTCGTTAAGAACTCGAGTCGAGTCTATTCGATCCGAGTATTTATTGAGCCTTGATCGAGTCGATCTCGAATAGCTCTCGATCTGTCTCGTCTCATTTACAGCCCTAGATTGAAGTAAGGTAATTGTATAAATAAAATACAGTTGTATTAAGTTTTTATTCTGTCCTGGAGGGATTAGATTATGGACCGTAATAATAATGGCTTTATAATCATCACAATTTTTATTATACAAAGAGAACTTCAAATTAAAAACGCATTCTTCACTGTTAAAAAAAGAAGAAGAAAGAAACAATTTTCAAAAGAATTCAGACCACCTTTATTGTCGTTCGCATCCCATTAAGCATTCTACGCCGTTAAAAATATACTTTTGAAGAAAAAAAAATTAAGATCACCTTGTAGTTGTAATTTCTTGTAAGAAACTAATTTTCTAGAACATGATTTCAAGTTGGGGAAGTTTATGAAAGGGTTATACTGTCTATTTATGTTCGTTTTTTAAGTTAAAATAAATGAGTTTGAAAAAAAACATATATAATTTAATAAACGAACCAACACGAAAAAATGTGTATTCAATTCATTTATGTTCACGAACAAACTGGTTTATAAGATATTTTATAAACTTTTTTCTTGACTTATTCATTTATGTTAATGAATAAACTCTTTTACCCGGTTCTTCTTTTTATTTTTTTATTTGTATTTTAAATATTGGTGAAGGTAAGGACTAAATTGAACACATGATAAATTTTAAAATTTAAAGTATGTATTTTAAGGAATTTAAATACTAATAGCGTAAACATATTCGTTTAATGTTCGCAAACATGTTCGTTTATATGTTCATAAATGTGTTTATTTAGTGTTCGCAAACATTTTCGTTTAACGTTCATTTAATATTTAATTTTTAGTTTTATCCTTTTATTTGCAAGTTAAAAATTTATTCGTTTACAAATACCATATTAAAAATTTATTCGTTTATAAATATCATATTAAAAATTTAAACGAACACAAACTAAACATGGGCACTTAAAAAATAAATAAAGAAATATGAATATAATTTTATTCGTTGAAACCAACTCATTTACCCTATGATAATAACCTATGATAATAACCAAAGTGAGACATAGGTGTGAGGTTTGCACAACGGAAAGCAAGGAAATCTGAGCCTCGCATTTTTGTTGTCTGCTTTAGAAGTTGTGTTCATGACATTATGCTACGTCTTTGTTTTGGTCGTTTTTTCATGGAAGATGATGCAAATTTTTACAATCAACTTATCATTTTAAATTCGAGTAAAGTTATAGAATAAAACTTGAATAATTAGTAGATTATATTTTAAGTTTGAATTAAATCTCTTGAATTTGTATGATATATATATATATATATATCATATATTAAAAAAGTAAAAAAATATATGTATTATATATGATTATAGAAAATCATTTAAATTTGAATCAAATAATATTATGATATTATAAATATTTATAATTAAATTTAAACAAAATCCGAACAACTCGTCTCGATTCAAATTTTATAAATTTGGCTCGACTAGAAAAAATTAAAATAAAATTTAAATAATAAAATAGAATTCATCAACTTGAATGACTTCAAATATTTTAACTAAACTCGACTAACGTATAATCCTAATAATAGTCGTTGAAAATTATTAATATAACTTAAATTTTGATTCAAATCATTAATAATATTAAGTATTTAATTGAATTAATTAATGACATTATAAACGTAAAAATTAAATTGTATATAAAAAAGAATTAAACCCTGAATTTTGAGTACAGAAGAGGGATTCAAAACCTAATTTAACATTTGTAAAAGAGGTTAAATATGTCAGAAGATTGTAAATAGGTGAGGAATAGAGGGCATAAGGCATTTGATTATAACGTTCACTCCAAATGCAAAGTGAAACTCCTGCCTGGGCCGTTTTATTTTGGACCTATATCACGTGCGTTTACGCCGAAGCCCGGTTCAGACCCACGCACTCCGTGACAGCCCCGTCATCTCCTCTCCCAACCGCAGACACTCACGTACTCTACTCTCATATACCAACTCCCTTTTATCAGGGCCCACTTTGTGGACGGACCCCCTCGTTTTTTTCGATTCGTACGCCCATGATTGATTTCATTGAAATGTATTATCCACGTGTCTCCCTTCAGATCACTACTCCCCCTTCGATCTCTTAGCCGTCCGATCAGGATCAGGATCAGGATCAGGATCAGTAAAAAATATCTTAGGGGGGAAACCCAGCAAAAAATAAGCCTAAGATCTAATTATCATTTTAATCCCTGTATTATACTAAAATTTAATATTTTAGTATCTTTATTTGTTTTGACTTAGTGCGGTTTATTACTTTTCTAATCTCATTAGAAGGTTCAAACTAAGGATGGTAAAATAATCCAAATCAGATGGATTTTAAAGGGTTACCTTTTAAAAAGAAAATCAGATGTCAATATGAGATGGTTTTTAAGTTAAAATCTTCCAAGTTAAATCGGATTTAGGTTGAATCCATCCGTTACATACTTACTCTTGAAAAAAGCACTTTTAATTATAACTATTTTCTATATTTTAATTATATTTTCAAGAATAAATAAGTATTTCTAATTTTTTGATTGATAAAGATATAATTTTTTAAAATCATTTTTAAGATATTAAATAAGGTCATATTTGGGGAAATAAATATGACAAATAAGCTGGGATTGAAAAGAAGTCACTCCATCCTATTATCATTTTTAATTCAAATTGATAATATCATTAGTTAATATCATTATAGGTAATGCAAATATTTACAACTTTGAACATTTTATTGACATAAGAATTTATTATTAATTACGTATTATTGATAAGGTTTTCACATAATCTTACATGATCAAATAATAGTACAGAAATATCATGTCATTATTTTAATAATAGAAAGTAGTAATATTATAAATTTGGATTTATTAATAATATTATAAAAATAAAATGTCAAAATTACTTCAAAATAAAATAAAGATATTAAATCTCAAACTTCAATATAATATAGGGACCTCAAAGCAAAATTAGACCAACAAGTAAAGGCTGAATTGTCTATATCTACAGAGATTGGTTGCATTGTAATCGTCACCACTCTATAAATCTAAGAACCCGAAAAGCAAAGTTTTCTCTCTCTGTCTGCTGCTGCTGCTTCTGCATCTTTCTTTTGCTAATTTCTTTATTTTTGCTTTTTATTAAAAAAAATTGAAACTTTTTTTAGGACTCCATAGAAGATGTGTGGAGGTGCAATCATTTCCGATTTCATCGCCGTGAAGCGTGGTTGGAATTTAACAGCCCAGGATCTTTGGTCTGAACTCGACACATTCTCCGACCTGTTGGGTCTGGATTTCAGTAATGGAAAAGGCTCTTTCAATCTGTTCAACAACAAGAAGGTCGGTTCCAAAGGCAAACAACTCGACAAAGGTATGTTTTTCCCTCTGTTTTTTCTCTTTAAATTCTGGGCTTTTTATATTTTGCAGAAACCCATGTTTTTCCATTTGTATCTTGCATGGTATCAATTATATGTTGGTTTATGTGTTCTTGCATGTTCTTGAAATTTTTCGAATAGTAGGAGAAAATATTGTCTTTACTGTTGTTTTTAATGTTAAAAAGTTTTTGTAATTTTTTGGGGTGAACCTTCAGGGACGAACGATGTGACTCGGAAGACATGCCGAGGCAAAGAGAAAGAGGGGAAGACTCAGCGAACTCGGAAGAACATTTACAGAGGAATCAGGCAAAGGCCATGGGGGAAATGGGCGGCTGAGATAAGAGATCCTCGAAAAGGAGTCCGAGTCTGGCTCGGTACCTATAACACAGCCGAAGAAGCGGCTGGAGCCTACGATGAAGCCGCCAAGCGCATACGTGGGGTCAAAGCAAAGCTCAACTTCCCTCAAACTCAGCCTCCTGCTAAGAAAAGGTGTGTCATGGCTCCTGAGTTGACTCAAGAGAGTTCAGAAACCAATAGCCCACCTCCCCCACCAACCCCACAACCTTTTATGGGTTTTGACTATGGGAATGGAAGGAGTGAAGGAATGGAGGGTGAGTTGGAGCTGAAAGAACAGATATCGAGCCTGGAATCGTTCCTGGGACTGGAACCTGATGAGTCGTCGACTGAGTTAAGTGGAAACGCTGAGCCTGACTCAGTGGACCTTTGGATGCTTGATGATCTCGTGACACATAATCAGCAACAGCCTGAGCTCTTTTATTAGAATAAAAAAGGGGAAAATCTGATAATAATTAAGCGATAGTCATCTTTGGATGTTAAGAAGTGTTTGGAAAACTTTGATTAGGCTGTTGTTATGTTTATCTTATTATGCTTGAGACTTTAAATGTCTGTATTAATGCATGGTAAATATTTGTGAAAAATAAAAGTTTTGGCCTTCTGTTTTTAACTTACATTTAAAATATACTTTTCTAAGGTTTTTGATAATTATTATAAAGAATGATTAAATTTTTATTTTTAATGTTTTGTATGATAGTATTTGTTATATTTTTTTAAAGCAAATTAATATATATTTTGTAAATAATGATGTTTGAACCCAGATGGTTTAACGTGTATCTAATAATGTAATATAATATTTAAATTAAGATTATTTTATTTTAACAATGATAAAATTAGGAGACAAATTTGTTTCGAGAGCATGGAAATACCCATTATGTCGGTTCATGTATCATATATATATATATATATATATATATTATTGTTTTTAATCACTTTCTTATTTTCGATAAAGGTCAGTGTTACGTCAAAAAAAATCTTTTGTTGATAAAATAAATAAATAAATATTAAAATACACTTAAACATAAATGTTGATTTATTGGAGTTCTATGTATAAATTTTTTAACAAATCAGTGATATCGTTAGTGAAGTAATTTCATCTAATTTACTTATTTTATATAAAAATAATCATATTTATTTATAAAAATAATTAATTTTGTGAAAATTATAATTATAACTATTAGAATTTGAGTATGAATGAATCAATTACCCTAATAATTAAAAGAACGTTGTTATTTTTAAAAGTCAGGAGTTCGAGCACTAACGACTGTAAGGGTGATTGAACATTCATTGTTAAATAATTAAGAACACTTAGAATAGATACTTTTTTATAATAATTTTGAAAAGACTTATATCTAAATTAACATATATGCAAGTTTAGACTCGTTTATATATACGTGTGGTATGTGACACGTCATAGAGTCTCAAAATTTGAAATCTTACATATGAATGCCATTTAGAGCAGTTTATGTATAACTTTTGTGTTATAATAACATTTTTGTTCGAAGAAAAAACAAATTTTCTATTTGACTCTGAGAAAATGAAAGAGAAAGTTACAAAAGAAGATGACAAGATCTTTAATTTTTTTTTTCATGGTGAATTTTAATGAAAATATCTCAAATATCTTATAATTTCAAATTTTAAAAAATATTTTATTATAAAATATTTTAAAAAATTTTTAAAAATATTAAAGAACATGCACACTTTTTACGAGGAGTATGTATACATTATTTAAACTCAGATTATGAAGAGAAATCAAATTCCTTGAAATCACTAGTATCATTCCAAAGATTCTAACATCACATAATTATATATATATATAATACACACTCGGGTATTAATGCAAAACTATAATTATTATACCACGATGAAAAAAATAATTATGACATCAATCAATTTCATCATTATTTTGAATCATAGATATCAACGAACACATGTGATGGCAATTGGCCGACCTACCGGCCAATCCATGGAAGGAATATATTAATTTCCAACACTAATCGTCTTGTTTCTTCTTCTTTCTCGAGAAATTAATCTCTAAAAGAGCATCGGGAGATTAAAAAATATATTATTTTAAAAATTAACTTTCTCGGCTACACACTTATTAATAAAAGTTCCATGGGTTTCGGTTATAATATAAAGTTGTTTAATTAATAATACCATAAAAAAATTTGTTTAAGTAAATGTAATGAAATCTGTTGATAATGATCATATTCTTTTTCTGAACCGGAACAAAACCGGTAATGTATATGTGAAGCGGTGTAAATATTTTGAGCATTCTAGTTGTTTTCCTTTTACCTTTTCTGCTTTATGAAATATAAGATTCAGTTACATAAAATTTATTGAATGGATTCAATTGATAAAATAAAATATTATTTTTTTAAGATTTGAATTCGATTAGTATTGGACATGATATATAATATTATATATCAAAATATAAATAGATTATTATTATGTGAAATAATCAAGGTTGTATTTACCTCATATTTATAAAGAAAAATAAAGTTAATTATATTATATGTCTCCAAACTATAACTTTTATTTTAAATTAGTCTTTAAACTTTAGAATATTCTAATTTTATTCCTAGATTATGATTCTCATTCTAAATCAGTCCTTAAACTTTTGAAAATTCTGATTTCAACCCTAAATTATGACCCTCTTTCTATATTAGTCCCCAACTTTTGAATATTCCCAATTTCATCCACATTATCCATCCAAATATTTAATTATTTTCAACCATAGTTTAACCTAAATTTTGTTTTTTTCAACATATAATAATATAACTTGGCCTGACGGTTATATTTATAAGGGATGTGATTAGTATATACGTATAATTCTGGATGAAATTGGAATATTCAAAAAGCTTAGGAACTAATTTAGAACAAAAATCATAGTTTAGGGATGAAGTTGAAATGCTTAAAAGTTTTAGGGATGAAGTTGAAATGCTTAATAGTTTAGGGATTAAATTGGAACATTTAAAAAGTTTAAATACTAATATAAAATGAAGGTCATACTTTGAATACACTCGATGCAATTAACTCAAAAAATACTTTAAAAAGAATAGACAAAGGAAAGGATCAAATCTTAAAAGATTTGATTTTATATTACGAATCTTTTAAACAGTCATTGCCTATTTATGTCAATAGTTTACCATATTTAGAATCCTAGTTTTCTTTTGGATATAATTTATGTTATGTTTAGTAATATAAATTATAATTATGATAGCAACCGTCATCTAAGATTCAATCTCTTCTTCCTCTCTCAACTAGAAAGAACAATACACGTTTGTAGCATAAAGCATATGGTGTGTCTGCCAATGTTTTCGTAAAGTTTAAATCTTTGTAACACTTTTGTTCAACTGGAATTGTAACGTTCTTAATAACATTTTCGGTTAACAATCGAAAATATTAGATTATTTGTAACATTTTAAGTTCAACCGAAAATGTCAGGAAAATGTTAGCATTTTGGGTTGCTCTCAAGTCTCGACCTAAAATATTGTGATTTCTATTACATATTAGATTGCGTCTCAAAATCGTTATTTTCTAACCTTAAATTAAGTTGCTGCAAACCAGAGTTATCCCATTATTTGGGTTTAAAAAAAATTGAAAATAAAACCACGTCAGACCCTCTTTGTCACCACCCATGAATTATAAACTTATTTTTTCAAATAAAATATTTAAGATTGATTTTGAAATTTTATATTAATTAAAAGTAAAATAAGATTTCTTATCAATACACCATAAATATAATTTATATATATTTAAATTCTAACTTACTAAGATGAAGTTAAAAGAACACCTTTGTTTGATTCCTTTATTTCAGTATACCTTTTTTGACTCTATATTTGTGTTTAGTTTGGCCAGGGGCATGTTCCATCTTTTGACTTGCAACTTAACACGGGATTTAGTTTTAAAGCCTAATTTTCAGCTATTTATAACCGTGACAGTAATTAATTTCACTCATTTCAAGTGTTATTCAAAGAAATAAATGACTGATTTAGGGGTCAACATCGATTGAATCTAAGTCAAAGTAAAAAAAATTGAGTGGATCAATCTTGTTTTATAAATTTTATTTAAAAAAATTAAAATCCATTCGAAATGTTTAAATTTAATTATAAATATTAATAATATTATTATAATATTTAAATTTCTACAAACAAATACAATATATATATATATATTTCTTTGTTTTTTAAAATATAATATACTATATATATTTCTTCATGTTACATGATAAATACTAAAGCCTGAGAAATTGTAAAAGTAATTTGAAAAAAAGAATAGGTTGGCTAGGAAGGAATTGAAAATTGAGGTGAGAAAGTTAAGGAAGATGCGTGAACCAAACCTATTCCAACTGGGGCCCTTACCCATGCCAAATTAATTCCCTCTTTTCTGTATTCCCAAACAATCCAAATCTCAAATAACATAACATCTATCTTCTTGGGATTGGGATTTTGACATCCATTTTTTCATTTAAAAATTGATTTGGATAATCATCTCTAAATTCTTGTTGCTAATTTGCATTATTTTTCTTTCTAGAACATGCCAAATGGGTACATGGATTACTGATAATCAATTAGATTACATTTGAATTCGTACCAAAGAATTGTGCTTAAAAAATACAAAATACAACCATCAGTCAAAGAGGTAAAGATAGGTATATATCAATTCCGTTTGTTTCTATAATTTAATGATTGCCAGATTTGGTCACAATTGAAATCGATTCATATGAAGTGATGGGCCCTTAAATCAACCTGGGAATGCCACTTGAAGGATTAAACTTTCCAAGACAAACAAACACTCAACATGTAGAATTTTAAATTTAAAACAGTTGTTGCATCTCTTAAAACAGAAACATTTACAACTGCAATAGTATTTGGCTCATCATCTCCCTCTCATTCAAATATATATGGTTGATAAGAAAAAAATGAAGCTGTTACTGTTTGCGGCAGTTTGTCTCTTTTTTTTTAATTTGGGTAGAGAACCATAAATGATAGTTGATAGATGAAATAAAGAAAATGAATAGAGAAAGGGAGCGAATCTCATTTTCCAACCTTACATAATGATTTTTATACAGACTCTTAATACTTATATCAGACTTATAGCAATGATGATTATTTGTAGGCTAATAGACTAAATAGATCTAATTGTCAAATAATTTATATAATTGATAAATCATGTGAGTTTGTCAATAATCATATCAAATATTATAATTGATCGAATAATATAGAGCTTCAAAGACTTTAGTTTCAATAAGAAAAATAATAACAAAAGCGTGATTGCTCAAGAAGAACAACATTTATAATACTCTTAATGTCTGATACCAACTCTGACTCATTCTTATTTTTCTAAAAGGCCTTTAATTCCTCTCCCTCCATATAACCTAAACATAAGCACACCAATCTTCCATATTACGCCATTTTGACTCTCTTCGTTCTTCCACAATCATGAGGGTAAAGGAGGTGTGACTTCACTTCGAAGAGGAACATCATACAGCCCTTGTCTGATTTCATCAATCCATTTCATGTATGATGATCAGTGTCGGACCCCGTAAATGTTGATTTGAAACAAATCCAAGTTTTTGGTCACGGTGAAACTAAAACCAAACATTCACCATATGACATGCAACTTTAGTTCCTAGTTTCGATGGCCCACAGAGGATTCGGCAGTTCATATGGTTGCTTCTCCACCGCCAACTTATGACCAATATCGAACGAAAGAGATGGGATCTTACGGATGATGATCGTTGTCCGTTGTGTGGCGCTGAGGAAGAATCAATTACCCATATCCTTAGGGACTGTCACCAAGCCCGAGCAATATGGAACCATATTATTCCAGCTTAATCTTCTTCTTTAATTTTTTTTCACTACCATTATTTGATTGGCTACACCTTAATCTTTCTAACTTTGCAAGGAACAATACTATGGATTATCACTGGAGACGCCTTTTTGGGATCCTTATTTGGAAGCTTTAGAAGCAACATAATAATGTAACGGGCAAATTGATGCTTCCTCCGATCTACTTCTATCGGCCAAAGCGTGGGCAGGCTGGATCAAACAAGGCAAGGCTATGTATACAACCCAACCTGTTTAACATAGATGCTCGACCAAATGGAAGCCTCCTCTTCCGGGAGTTTTAAAGTTAAACACGGATGGAGCGATGCAATCAAGCTCTATGGAAGCGGCAAGTGGAGGTGTATTTCGAGATGAGAATTGTAAGTGGATCGTTGGATATAGCAGGATAATCGGTAAATGCACTGCCCTCCAAGTCGAATTATGGGTTGTTGCAGATGGTCTTGAACTTGCTTGGCAACATAACTTCTGACATTGTGATCAATATCGATAATATTCAAGTGGTCCGCAATCTCAACTCTCCTCCCCAGTTGTTTGAGCCTAGGCTTCTTAGGAGAATCTGTGCTCTTCTCAACCGGTCCTGGAGCGTTATAATCAGTCACCCTCCGAGGGAAGCTAATCGGCTTGCTGACTGCCTTGCTCGCATGGGATATTGTCGAAGCATGGAGTTTTCCAAACTTACTCAACCCCCTCAGGAAGCCACGTTTTTAATTCAGACCGGGCTAATATGTTATATCGATCTACCCACAAATTGTGTGGCTATCTTTGTTAAAAAAAATTGCATCTATTGTTTCTGAATACCACATGTCATAAAGGACTAGGAGACGTACCACGATATTCCTCCTGTTCTATTAATAATCAGTTTCAAGTCTGAAAAAGAAGACTGTCGGCGTGGTAAAGGAAGCCACATGGCAGACAAGATCAATCAGAAGTGCCACATATCAGCCAGTGTCATTAGAGGTATAAATAATCATAGGGCCAACTTCAGGAAATGTGCAACCCAATGTACAAGAATCCACTTACTACATCAAAAGGAAGTGCTGGTCGGCACATGGTAAGGTGCAATTCTGCATTACTTCAGTCTCTATTTACTCATGCTACTTAATCAAGGAATCATAAAAAACTGATCAGACATTTTCCAAGCAATGAAACACAAGAAATTAAGTGCAACCCAACTATTAAGGTGCCAAACCTGTTTAATTTGTACTTGATGGGGTATGTCATTCCTTACTAATCCAAGTACCCCGACCACTCAATAGGAAAATGAGATCATAAATGATGTTATATTTTCAGAGATATTCCTCTACGAGTTACAATTTCGCAATCACCTCTACACCTGTCGAAGTTCAAAGAAACTCTTCCGTTGATCAAAATCCTCTAGAACTTCATCTCCTTCTGACCACAATCCCTTGACAAGATTACTTACTTGCCCGTAAAATTTATTGTCAAACAATTACATTTATCTAATATATCTACTCATAAATAGCAATCATGACGCTAAGTCTAACACCACACTAAGAGTATAAATTCCCATGTGAAACTGAAGGGGGAATCGAACCTTCTTGGCAGTTCATCTTCTCCATTGCTTCTCATTTTCTTCGGCCTATGGTCTTTCAATCCTCTTACAAAATCACTTAACGTGGCTCTCCATTAAAACCAAAAGGGGTGAACTGCCGCCACAATTCACATTTTACCACCAACAATGTATTATTAATTTTTTGAACACCCTTCAAATGCAGGGTGTCATATAGCAGGGACACCATCAAACTTGGACTTAAAAAATGGCACCTATACACTTTTGAACTCCAATGTGATAAATTTGACACATCGGGTGTACTTGAACTAGGCCTATCCATTTTCACCTTAATATTTTTTTTACCATGGAACAATAACACAAGCTGTCAAGCCATTAATTCAAGAGTAATTACTTTTTAGAGAAAAAATGAAGCTTTCCCCTTCAACCTTGCTCCTTAAAGAGCCTAAATGTCGAATCTAAAAGAATTCTTCGTCCTAAAAAAGGGTCAAGAAAGCAGTATAAGTACTACAGGGCTTACAACAAGAGGCATTGACAACTTAAAGTTGACACAACAAACCTATAACTGTGCTCATGAAACATCACCCATTTTTGTAACAATCAATTGAACTGAATTGCTGTTGCATTCTTCAAAAAACATAAGCAACAGCAGCAATAAGTCAATAACTATAGAAACAATGAGTAGATAATAAGATATTCTGTGATTATAAACAATCCATAAAGATGATAAGTATATATACAACCATATATACATTTGAACTTGAATTTGATACATAAATGGCAGAAATTTTAGAATACCCAATTAATCTGCATATCAGCAAACTGAAACCAATCTCATCGGAACCTTTCCCCTTTCTCCTGCTTCCCCGATACCATTTGCCACAATTCTGACCACCTTCTTAAACGCAAAGTGCACGCAATTCGACAAAGCAATCCAGCAAATCACCTCATACATAAAATCCATAGCATTTACGGTCCACGGAGATGACGACGAAGATTCATCCCAATTTTGCCCTCCAAACTCACCGAAATTCCAACCACTACCACCCCAACTGCTCCCTCCACCTCCACCGACGCCGCCGCCGCCAAACGGGCCATACCCATCGCTGCCGTCACTACTAAAGAAGAATCCGTGGACATCGCCATCGTCTGAGTCATCCCCGCTGATTAACTTCCGCTTGGTGCGACGCTTTCTGCGAAGTAGAGTTCGAGGTAACGTCTTATAGGAATTAGGCTTGGTGGGAGGAGGTGAAACGGCGTCTACGGGGACCATTCCAGCGGTTACCTGAAGAATTCCGAGATTATCAGAGGTAAAATCGGAGGAGATGGAAAAACAACCGTTTGCGGCGAATTGATGGTGGCGATCGAGAATAAAATTCGCAAACCCCACGCCGTTGGAAGTGGCTATCGTTAGCGTATCGCAAATTAAAGAGAGATCCATTAGATAAGGGGACGAATTGAAATAGAATTTAGGGATTTGGGGAATAATTGAAATGCGCGAAAATATCTAATAGAATTAGGGAATTTTGTGGAGGGAAGGTCAAGACAAGGAAAGAAGGGAAAAAGAAAACAAAATTGAATAGTGAAAACGCAACAGTTATTCTTACGTGGCGGCTTGGACAGGTGTTGACTATCTAATAGAATTAGGGAATTTTGTGGAGGGAAGGTCAAGACAAGGAAAGAAGGGAAAAAGAAAACAAAATTGAATAGTGAAAACGCAACAGTTATTCTTACGTGGCGGCTTGGACAGGTGTTGACCGCTGGCAATCCCTTGCTTGTTGAGGTGGAATTTTCTGGCGGCGGTTAATTTGTTCATACACTTTCGGCCATCAACTGAATTTTTTTATCCTAATATTTGACTTTGATAACTTGTAAATATAACGTTTAAATAAACTTTTAACCCTTTTTTTATAATAACGAAAATAAGAAAACAAACAAAACCACAACCTCAAAATGTCTATTCCCCTAACATCAGCAATTAGCAAGGGTAAATGGAAGTTCATCTAAAATTACAAAAAGTGTCATGTAGATTGTGAATTAGTTCACATATGATTGTACAATTTCTTTCGACAAATATGATGCATTTTCTTGATCCAAAACGTTTCATAATCTTTTATCAAAGCACACATTAAATGATTATTAATCATGTTTCCATTTAAAGCATCAACCACCCATTTAGTATCAAGTTCTAGAATCAAGTGTGGTATTCCCAACTCTATAGCTACAAGTAGACCTTGACAAACTCTTCGTAATTTCGCTAGCAAACTATTTGTATTCCCGGTAATATCGTGAAACCACAGCCATTGATAATACTTGTCACAGATCACTCCTATCTTTATGTACCTGCTGGTAGAGGCAGCCATCAACCCTTTTGGTCTCTCACCATTGATCCTACCTTATCATTCATGGTTGTCCTGGTATCGCGAGCTACTCTAACTGTGTACTGGCGTATTTGCCTTAAGCGTAAGCTATCATCTTTAAAAACATCATTATCTCGTCGTTTTCATAACTCCTAAAGAATATTGGCAAATAATGTGTCCCATTATAGCCCAAACATCCAAGTCCTTGTTGAGCAACAATTTAGCTTAAGCCAATCCTTGAATTTAGTGGTGTTGAATTATGCGTCAAAATCTGTTGTTCCTAATTCTATCCAAACTTCATTAGCATAAGAAAAAACGTGTTCTTTCTATAGATGTCACTGGCCAAATTCAGGTAACATGATCTAGATGTGGAAAGTTTTACAAATTCGATATCTTATTTCAATCGTAATCTCAACTTAAATCTCAAAATTTTCTAAAGTTTTAAAGACTCTGAATACGTAAATCCTAATGTTCCATGATTATAAGTTCAGAAAATAAGTATATGGATGACAAAGATATAAACAAGAGAAAGTGTGTGTTCTAACTTCTAATGTCTAAAGCATAAGATTATTCTGCAGATAAAAATGTTTGAGAAGTTCGGTCCTTGCAAGTTCGATGTGGAGAATAAGAAACATGATGAAGATAGACGAAGAATGTTTGTAAATAATTTGAATGATAACCTTCGATCTCTATTCACAGCTTAAATAATAGTAATTTTGGTCAATCCGAATGCCAATTTAAGTGGATTTAGGTTTTAGTTGATTAGTTGACCGTAAAAGTTGGGATAGTTGTATAATAAATTATTTAGATAATTAAATAAGAATCAGATATGGGTATGATAAAGAATTAATCTTTGATAAGAATTCGTTGCCAAGGGATATGAAATGATTCAAAAAAAAGATTCAAGTCATTATAAGTTTTTTTAGAGATTTTAAGTTCAAGCAAATGTATTTGTAAGGTATCTGTGTATTGTCAATTGAATTAGAAAATTCTAAACAGATATTACATTATAATCACCTCATATTATTAAAAAAATATTAAAAAAATCATTTCAAATAACAGAAAGTATTTGAATGTGTTCTCTGAGGAATTATTAAGGTTATTTCCCGATTGAGAGGTAAGAGTTAGTATTGAAATTATAATGTGAGACTTCATTAATCTTAATTCCTTCGTATTGAATGATTTCGATGATGGAAGAGAAATTGATATATAAATTTAAAAAAAAATATTACGATAGTATCATTGTTAATTTTTAATGGAGGTTGGAGGGTGATCAAAACAGAAACAAGCTTTAATGTGTGATTTTGAAGAAGAAAAAAAGAGTTGAGTGATCAAAACAGATAGAATAGGTGATTGACCAAATATGTAATTTACTCTTTTATTTTGGATAGCTTTAAGAGAATGCTGTGATCGTATCCTAACCCATCGGAAATAAAACTGGGCCAACCCATTTGATTACTTCAACACCCACAACCCTAACAAACTTTTCACCTTTCCCATAAAAACCGCACCTACATTTTCTTCTAAAAAAACCCTTGGTTTTTCCATTTACAGCGGCTTGCCGCTAGCGTCCTCAAATGCGGTCGCGGCAAGGTCTGGCTCGATCCTAATGAAATCAACGAAATCTCCATGGCCAACTCCAGTAAGTCACTTTGTCCGTATTTTAATTCATCGCGACTAATAAAATCCATCTGTTAGTTCTATATGAATTAGCTGAATTATCCTTACGGTTATTGCTCGTCTTTGATTGCTTAGGGTTTACTAGGTTTCTCTGAAAATTTTAAAATAGAAATGGTTAGACTTCAGATCTGAAGTTATAGCTTGTTCTTAGTTAGGAAACCTGTATAACTTGCTTCGCCTATTTATTTATGTCGAATATCGGAGTTTCGTCTATTTTTGATCCAATCGGTTTTAGCTTGAATTCATTACAGTTTTGGTGTTTTTACAAATTTTGATTCTGTTATATGTAGATCGAGCTGTTAGTTTTTTTAGGCCCCTGTGTGTTTGCTGATAATTTGATCATTGTTTACAGGGCAGAATGTTAGGAAACTGGTGAAGGATGGGTTTATCATTAGGAAGCCCACCAAGATTCACTCCCGCTCTTGAGCACGGAGAATGAAGGAAGCCAAGAGAAAGGGACGACACTCAGGATATGGTAATGGTTACGTTCCTATATTTAGGGTGTTGGATTTATTCCTTGAGATTCACTATTAGTCT